CCGGGCGGTTTACAATTTCATTATACAGGCTACACATTGCCCCCCCCCCAGCAAGCTGAGTACTCATTTTACTGACCTCGGAAGGATGGAAGGCTGAGTCAACCTTGAGCCGGCTACCTGGGATTTGAACCCCAGGTCGTGAGCACAGTTTTAGCTGCAGTACAGCGTTTTAACCACTGTGCCACGAGGCTCCTAAATTGCTTACCCTCTTTGAGGCATGGAGTAGTTTGAGCAGTTTTGAGTATTTGAGCAGTTCATCCTGCTTTGGGTTCCTGACATACTGCCAGAGTGAAAGTTCACTGCAGAACTTTGATGCTTGAACAAGACGGAATGCTTAAAAAGGGATGGAAAGAAGTACTGTCTTATTCCACTTTGCAATAAATAAGAGAGTCATCCAAATTGAAATGCTGTTCACCTTTTAAATTAGACCTGTGAAGCATCTGGGTGTCAGATTGCAGCATTACCCCCCAAACAGTCCTGCCCTTCATGACAACCTTGTCTTCCTAGTTGGGGGTAACTTTTGTACCAGGGAAGGGGACTTGAGTCATAGGAATTCCTGTCAAGTCGGACTTAAGTCTCACCAGCTATTTGACTTGGACTTAACTCAGGTTTGTTTTTGTTTTTTCAATGATTCAGATTCACAGCTCAGAACCCACCCACTCCCTCCCTTTTTTCCTGGGGGGGTGGAGCTTGTTTTTAATAAAAACTCAGACTTGGGGCTTGGGACTCAGGATTTGGTGCCAAAGAGTTTGACTTGGGACTCAGAACGTAAGACTTGCCAGCATCCCTGGTATCTGCAGCTGCTCCTGTGCTTCTGAATGTGATTTGGAGCTGAAAACAGAGAGGTTTTCAGAGGTTTTGATCCATTGACGTAAGGGAGGTTGGCTTTATGACATAACGTCTGGCCCTGGCTGGTCAGATATAGTGAGGCACCAGGGGTCCATGGCAAAGTCTGCCATGGGACAAATGGGGTCATTGATAGTTGGATGTTATCATCAGAAGTGTATATGGGACAACTATGTGAGCTTCTGAATGTATTACTTCCATTTTGTAAAAGGTTCAACGACAAATGGGGTCATTGATAGTTGGATGTTACCATCAGAAGTGTATATGGGACAACTATGTAAGCTTCTGAATGTATTACGTACTTCCATTTTGTAAAAGGTTCAACATTTTGGAAGAAGTATGAGTAATATATATATACTCCTTTTCTTCTTTCTCTTGTTTTCAGCTGAATCCGTTGATGTGCTCAAAGCATTACAGTTTCATAATTCACCAGAAGGAATATCCAAAACAGCAGGATTTTGCATAAACAGAAGAAATTCCAAAGGATCAGATGTCGCCTACAAAGTTTCAAAACAGGCACAACTCAGTGCTCCAACCAAACAGCTGTACCCAGGTGAGTCTGATTGGTGTGTGTGGTATGGGAATTGTGATGTAATACAATGTAAACATTATTTTGACTTTGCTTCCTGCCAATTAGAGCTGCAATTACCATTTCGGTTTGCCGTAAGATGTAGCAATGGGCACCAACCTCGACAGAAAGATATGTGTATGATTCGTAAGATGTAGCAATGGGCACCAACCTCAACAGAAAGATATGTGTATGATTAAAAAAAAATATGGATTACCTCCAGTATCAGAGATAGTTTTGCTTTGGTTACCACTCCCTAAAGAATACAAAGGGGAAGGGTGCTGATTAATTAATGCTATCTAAACTGGCTAACTAGGGAAACAGAATGCTGGACAGCACAGCTCTTTGGTCTGATTCAGGAAGGCTCTTCTTATGTTTCATATACTTGCCTGATAAATCTGTTTCTGTGATGTGTCAGGAGGGTGTTTTGATATGGAGATTCTGGTAGCGTCACTCAAGTGTCATGGTCACTGAGCTACTGAGCAATGCCGTAGAGGAAGGAATTTTTTAAATTGCAAATTCTGTAAACTTCCCTCTACTGTGCTTTAGGAAATGTCTAGAAAGCTGGCATGGCAGCTACATGCCCAGTTCTACCCAGTTCCTACTTGGATAGAAACTGCTTCCACATCTTCCTGCTGCCCACCTGATTTTTTAACCCTGCTGAGAGGTTCATCCATAGCTCTGCACTGCCAGTCTTGACTATTCTATTGGAATTAATACTTTCAATTTTTTAAAACATGAATTGCAATGGAAGGAATGCAGCTTTGGTTTCCTGCCCCTGTTGATCCAAAATGTGGCAGTTTAAATTATGGATGATGCCCAATTCCAGTCATTTTTCAGTTCCACTGCTATCAAGTCAATTCTGACTTATGGCAACCTTTTCCTAGGTTTTCTAGGTAGAGAATACTCAAAAGTAACTTGTAGTGACCCTTTCCAGGTATAGAGTTCTCACAGGTGGTTTACCATTCCCTTCTTCTGGTGGTGACAAGGGACTGGCCAGCTTGCCCAAGGATACACCAGCTGGGTGTTCTTCTCCTGGAAGGCACAGTGGAGAATTTAATGCTCAAAATCTGGCTCCAAAGTCAGATGCCTCACTCCAGCCAGCATCAGCTCCAATAGTTACATATTTGTTTCTGGGTTCAGTTTAAAAGGCTGGCCTTTCCTAGAGGGCCTTCAATAGTCCCTCAAGAGACTATTGAAGTCTCTTCAGTAGTCCAGCGACTATATGGTAAAACATTCATGTAAAGCTCTAAGATAAAGGTTTAGTGATGTTGGTTGCATTTCACACCTAGTAATGATTTGTGGCACCTGTTAGTAGCTGTTTGGTATTGAGTTATTTTGAAGCTGGTTCTGCAAACAGCACCAATGATTAAAGGAAACAACAGAGGAACAACATGTGGTAATGTAAAGAATGACAGACTTTATCACTGATCCTTGTTTGAAAAAAGTGGATCTGGTTGGTTGAGAAGAAAGATAACAGGAGATAACAACATAATTATTACATTTTATAAGGGTTTAAGATACCTTGGCTAGTATTTAATCCATTGAAATGCGTGTCCAGCATGGGTATATATTTTATCTTAGCTGTTTCTGTCTGGATTCTTGTTCTGTAGTTTTTCGTCTCCAGAATAGCAGCTTTTATATCTTGTGAAGACAGAAGTGATTTGAGACAGGTTTCTATGTCCTGCTCAGCTATTGCCATTATCTGCTTCACTACATGTGCTTTCACTGGGAAGCAGAAGAGAACACCCTTCTAGTACTTTCTAGAAATTGCCTCACTGCTCCATTGGAGGGTAATTTATTTAGATGCTCTCCCTCTAGAATCTAATAGGTAACAAGACTATACTTCCCTTGAAGCAGTGAGCCAACTCCAGAAAAGCACTGTGACTGAGGAGGTGGGGTGCTCCCTTCTGCCTAAGCTTGTGTAGTGAAGCAGAGAAGGATGATAGAAAGACTTATTCATTCATTTATTTAAAATATTTATCTTCTACTTTTTTTCTCAAAAGGACCCGAGATTTCAGAATATTAAATCCAGAATAATACAATTAATATCCCAGCACTGGAAACCTTATAGCCACAGGACTTAAATTTCTGAGTTTCAGTTTCAGTTTATTGGTCTGTATCCAACCCATTAAGGAATCTGGGCACTACTCCAGCATTTCTGATGTCTCACCTGATCAGAGTATTGTTGCAGTGCCCTTTATGTGTCAGCTGTTCTTGGCTATTTTTTGGCAGAAGAAAAATGTAAATATTAAATAATCAGAGTTATAATGTTGCCTCAAGATGCACCTGTTGCAGATTACTGAAGAGTAGTTAGTTACATTTCGAGGTGTGTAGTGGATAGTATGATATATTCTGTCTATTTCCTTAGCAGGTAATAAGAACATTTATGCAGTTAGCCACTGTTCTCCAACCACACTATTCTTATTCTAGTCTTTCCCCCTTTCTGGAGACTGGAGAAAGCTGGAGCCTCTGAGAGGGCCAGAAAGCAGAAAAATGTCCAGGCTTCTCTGAGGTCCAGTGTGAAGTCAGGCATAGCTCCTTGTCTTCCTGTGGCTCTTATGGAAGTGGGCATATTTGTCACCCAGAACCTTTATGTTTCTATGAATGGGGGCAGCTGTAAAATTCAGAACAAGCAAGGTTCTCTGTTTTTATTCACAGATTATTGTGCTGTGGGTCCTTCTAAGACTGCAGAATTTCTCTCATTCAGAAATGTGTATTTATTTCCATCTGCATTTTTTTCAAAATGTTTATGATTTTGTACACATTTACAAATGTATGCATTCTACAGATTTATACTTGTTGAGTGACTTAAGCTGTTTCATATGCATTCTTTTTCAAATACTGTATATGCCTGTTCTATATGTATTAATAAAGTATGCATATTTTGTCTATCCGCGCATGTCTTTACACATACATGCACAAGGTTCATGTCATAGTTGTATATAGTTAATGGATTTCAGATTATAAATTATGTTTGGCTGTGCATTTGGTTCTGGTGGAGAATGCAAGGTGGCTTACCTCACATCAAGCTATGAACAAATATTTCAATTACTATTGCTATCTGAGACTTAGTGTGAGTTTGTGCTGACTTGAACTGTACGAATTTAATCTCATATTTAAGAATCCATCCATCCATCCCTTTTATAGGAGGGGCAGAATCAGCAATAGAAATACATTTTTAAAAAATGGTTCAAGACCTAGAAGAATTCGTGGATGTCTCTTTCCAAATGACTGGAAAAATCCGCTAACTTGTTCTTTATTGTATTTGCAAAAGCTTTGTTCTTTATTCATGAGCTTTAAGGTTCTTTATTCATTGTTACACCTCCTTAAGATTCTTTAAGGTTCACTCTTGGTTCTAGAGTTTGTGTTTGTGCTCTCAGAATTTCCAGATTAAATCAGTTGTTAGTCCCACCTACAGTAAACCCATTGAACAAACAGTATCTTGAAACGATACTTAAGTAAATCCTAATAGTTGAGTGAGACTGGTCCAAACTGGACTAACAGTTTGATTTATCCCAATCTGATTTCTCTCTTTTTCTTTCTTTTTTTTTTTAAATGAGATTCTGCTTTGACATTTGACCACAGTGCAAAGGACTTTATACATGAATTACAGAAGGTCACACAAAGAGAAAACAAATCACTTTTAGAACAGACAATGACAAAGACAATATCTGGCATATTCTTTTGCTTCTCAAAAATATATCATTTTTAAAGCAATGGAAATACTCTGCTAGAAATCAGTGTGCAATATAATTCTGAACATGTTTACTCAGCAGTGAAAGCCAGTGTATTCAGAGTGAATTGATCCAGAATAAGTGTGTACATTAGTGAGGCTGATGATATTTCTATTCTGTGCATCTGCACAAGCCTTTTTTGGGTATCTGTTACAGATACAGTGGGGTCTTAACTTGAGAACTTAATCCGTATTGGAAGGCGGTTCTCAAGTCAAAAAGTCTGTAAGTCAAGTCTCCATTGACCTACAGTGCATTGAAAACCGATTAATCCCGTAACAGGCCGTTTTTGTTCCATTTTGGTTTTTTTCTGGTCTGTAAGTCAAATCTCAGTCTGCAAGTCAAACCTAAATTTTGCGGCCAGAGAAGTCTGTAACTCAAAAAGTCTGTAAGTCAAGCTGTCTGTAAGTCAATGGTCCACTGTACATGAAGCTGCCATAGGGGAAGTATATAGTAATATATATGCAGATCGCGTATTATTCCTACATTGAAATGTGATGTAGGAATTATATGGCAAGGCTATTTGTAAGACTTTACTTCTAGCCCTGGCTAACCATTGTTGCTGCCCAGGCTATCTGAGCTGCTTGCTGACACCATGCATGGAGATTGTTGTAAGATGGTCAGCGTCAACCACAATAGTATGGAAACAGCAAGAATGTAGTTTGAAGAAGAATCCTGCATTGTTTTATAGGGTATCAAATTATACTGTCAAATTAGAGCTTAAAGAGTAGGTATGTCTTAAATCTAGAGCTATGAGCCTCATGGCAGAGTGGATCACTGCAGTCAAACCTCTGCCCACAACCTGCTTGTGGTCCCAATGAATTCAGGTAGACAGCTTGAGGATGACTCAGCCTTCTATCCTTCGAAAGTTGGTAAACAGAGTACCCAGCTGACTGGGGAGGCAATATATAGCTTGCATAATTAAATTGTAAACTGCTCAGAGAGTGCTCTCAGCACTATGGGGTGATATACAAGCAACACACTTTGCTTTGCTTTAAATTGTTACACAGGTTATGTGTAACATATGTATCAGATTCATGCAGTTGAAACCTTAATACAGTAGTTATGCTTCATCTACTATAGAAGTATGTGTTTCAAAATGAAGCACCATATATGTGCAAAGTCTCTGAAATTAGGAACAGGTGGCAAGAGTAAGGCGGGGGGAAGATACCTAGCACTCAACTGTTAACTAGAAAGTACAATTCAGTGGTTAATAATAAAAAATCATGTGTCGTCAAGTCAACTTAGACT